TTCTAGAACTCACTTCCCATACAAGTCACCCATCTGGCCAGTCAGAAAACTGGGTGGGAAGTGGCATCTAACAACTGATTATCAACTCTTAAATGCCAACACGGCCCCACTAACAACTGCAATCCCCAATATTGCAACTTTGACAGCTACACTACAAGCAGCCACACACTCGTGGATGACTGTGTTAGGTGTGAAAGATATATTCTTTATGTTTCCCTTGCAGAAAGAGGATGAAAAGAAATTTGTTTTTACTTAAGAAGGTACAGAATATACCTGTACCAGACTTCCACATGATTAGAGTTAATGTTCATCCACGACTCCTCATCCCATGCTTGCTGAACTTTCACAGTCTCACTCCCTTAGAATGTGAAACTGTACAAATATATAGGTGATATTCCAATTGGAGGAAATTCCCTTGAAAAGATGGGGGAAGCTGCAGCAGCAGCTCAGCAAGCACTACACAAAGCAGAAGTTGAGATGGCATCTGAAAAATGTCAGGGACCAAGTAGAGAATTAAAGTTTTTAGGTACCTAGTAAACAGTGGGTAGCATAGTGGTTCCTCCAGATACCTTAAGAAAAATGAACATTTGCACATGCCCCACTCTAAGGAAGAGTTACAGTAGCTTATGGGTACTTTAGGGTACTGGTGGAAACATGCACCTGGATTTTCTATCATTGCTTGCCCACTGTACCCACCTTTACGAAAGGGAAAACCATGGAGATGGAACCCAGGACATGAAGAAGCAGTCAAAACTCTAACACAGGAATTAAAGACATATCAATCATTTGGACCAGTACAACCCCATGACCCTATAATAGCTGAATAGGATTTTGTTGCGCATGGTACTTACTGTAACCTATTTCAAACTGGCCTTGATGGACCCAAGAGACCTTTAATGTTCAGCTTGACTGCATTTAAAGAGACAGAACAGGGACACTCTTGAGTGGGAAAAGGGACTTTTCTCTTTAGTCTGAGCAGTAAAACAAGTTGATAACATACACCAGGACCAGCTTGTGCAAACCAGAGGACCACTGAATTTTGCTAGAAGCAATTCTAAATGGGACTGCTCCCCCACAAGGGGTTGCAAAAAAACCTGTAGTCAGAAAATGTTATACCTGCTTGACAGGAATTTCAGAGAAAATTAAATTAACCAAAGGACATACTAAACTTTCCAAATTACAGATGCCTGCAAGTGCAGATCCATTAATGTTACAAGAACATTTTAAATCCTCACATCCATAAAACAACCAAAGAGAGATGTGACAGGCATTCTGGGAACAGGATTAAAAGTGTTACATAGCACAGATGCTGAAGTTTTAGCAAATAAAATAAGCTCAGCAACAAGTAATTTACACAAATTAGAACATATATTGCAATCTTATCTAGCAGCACTGGGAACTAACCAAAGGCTCTTACTGGATATATCACTCCTCCAATTAATTGTAAATGCATTAGGTGCAGCCCAAACCAATGTCTCTCAAGCTCTTTGTTTTATTGAGGCTCAACTGTGGGTTAAATCGACTGTGGCAGCAATTGCAATTGCAAGAGAAGGTGTGGAATGCACCTTACTTACTGAAAATTCAAAAAAATAATCTGGCAAAATGCAACTAAACGGGAAAGAAAATTTCAGTCTAAACTAGATGCCTTTTCATTTATGACCCTACCAACAGTAAAACCACATCTTCTGTTTCGACAACAGGCAATGCTACCATATATGCTATATATGCAACCACTGCATTGGGATTAGATCACAATGGAAGTATCCTCTATCATGGCCCAGCAAAATGGGAACAAATAGCAAACTGTCGATGTTGGTTGCATGTGTTGTACAAGAACAATAGGGATTTATTTGTGAAAGTAATACCATTAAGGCCAAGAAATTTGTTTTGACATGAAACAGAATGATTGTTATTCTGAAATATATCCCAGTGAAACCCCTGGAACTGTACTTATTGGAAATGGATGTGTTTGTATAAGAATCCTTTCTGATTCTGTAGTTACAGACAACACCACTGTAAAAACATATAATCACTCAAATATAATCACTCACAAACTCTCAATCTTGTAATTTTACCAAGATTTCGGGACTCAACTTTAACTAGTCAACTCCTGGCACAACCCACCAATTGCTACAATCTAACACATATCAAGATTTACTATCTACCCCATTGGAATGAATCTTACCTTGGAGAAAAAACTAGAACACACAATGACCTGTGTTACCTTCTAGAACACATCCAAAACAACAGACACAGAACTCTAATCACCATTCATCATGACACAGAGAAGACATACCATGTCCCAGAAAGAGTGAAGAAGGATGCAGAACATCACAAGGGGAATACCTTATTCAGATGGTTACTGACAGGGACAGAAAATTTGAATCTAATGCTGCATCCAATCGCAGTTTTACTAATTTCTGCTGTATTATGCTTGTTACTGAACGTTACTCTACTTGCTAGAGTGTGGAGGATAGCTAGATGGGTTGCACTGTTACAAAGACCTCTTTGCATATATATACTGCTTAATCACATTTTAAAAAACTTTAATAATTAAATAGGTCAACCAAAAATTTCCCTCAAATTACAACTGAAATACAGCATTAATATGCTTATAGGCACAGAGGCAAGAGACAACCCCACCACCACTCTTTGAGGGAAAGATGGATCGATTTTAGTCGTGGGGTGGATTGCAGTGGTGCATTATCCCCGTCCTCCTCAATGTCCCTCTACACTCTGCAGTCTCAGGAACTCTCATTAGCCCTCAGCCTTTGTGTAGTGAGTTGGGCAGTGAAATGTCTCTTGGCATGGCCAAGGTGAGCGTGGCACCAGGTGTACCAGAAATGACTGTCGCCTGACCAAGGTGGGGAACAAGAGCGAATCACTGATCCCCTGACAGCCTTGGAACGTTCTTTACCTGAACCACAGCCTGAGTGGAACGATACCATTGTTGTTGAATTTTTGAAAGTTCAAGCAACTACTGACCCAGATGGTATTCAGGATGGGAATTTATGAATGACTAAAGTCAAACATCTTGTGACCCTATAAACAGCAGTCCTGAGTAAGGCTCTTTGACTCTCCTGGACTGCAGCAGCCTGCCACCAGCATCTCCCTGAGTGGGACGCCTCTCAGAGCTCACAAACTCTCAAATTTGCCAAGTTCAGAGGACCATCAACGAAAGCTGATGATGGGGCCTGGGCCAAACTTTCCACTCCCCAAGGCTCAACCCTCGCCCATTAAGAAATGCAAAGATATTCAACAGGTATACCTTTATACATTTGTGTACATACACCTCTATACATTCCTACACATATATCCATATAAGTATCTTCGTGTCAGCGTGCACACATATGTGAATTGGGTTAGATACCCTCTAGCAAGCAAAGCATTAATGTTGCCACATCAGATCTACAATTTAGTCATTGTTGTAATTACAGTAAATCCTGTTGAAGCACTCTGTAAATGTTAAATTAGTCAATGATTAAGTGCTGTTAAATCATTTAAATATAAACCATTGATCAAGTTGGAGAGCAGGAGAGGACTTAGCTGTACCTCAGCTCCATCAGGAGTCTAGAAAGCAAGGAGCCCCACTCTGAACCTTGTGACTCAACCAGAGGGTCTCCCTTACCCTTTTGAGTCTCCAGTCTCTGTGTAAATCATTCTATGTCAATTCTGTTTTCCTTTGGATGTTTCATCCACATAGTAAGTAACAATGCAAACCTCGCCACTGAAATTTGTTAAGTTGCACTTTTACAAATTTGTGTTACACCTACTTTTGCTAATACCTTTAACAGTGATTCTTTAAGTGACCTAAACCACTCTTCACAACACCAACTGAGAAACTTCTGGATTTTCTTTAGAAACGTTTGTTAGTCAAAAACACATTTATGCAGAAAAGGTCATCATGATATTCCACACTGCCACTTCCAACTCCAAACTAATGGTCTGAAGTTACAGAACTGCACCAGACTATTCAAACACACTTCAGGCTAGAAGTACAACAACTAGAACTCCCGTTCTTTTATAATTCAAGTGCAGCCACTGATCATTTGATACATGCAAGAGCCAGAATACAGACACAGAGACACCCATACAACTCTGCGGCCTTCAGACAGTGCAAATGCACTGACCTCACTTCTTTCACATTTGAGTTATTAATTGCCACTAGAAATCAGCAAACTTTTTCTCACAGCTGTGTACAGCCTGCACAGCAAGCAGGCACCAGTTGCAGAGTGGGGCTTCATTAGTGAACAGGTTACTGGGTCACTAAACAGAGTTCTAAGCAGATCTCAAGTAAAAAGACACCATCACATGTCACATAAACGATTTCTTAATGTTGTCAAAGAGCACCTGTGGGTAGCCGACAAAAGTTTCTGTTCCAACAGACGACAGTTTCCTCCAGGCATGAAGACTGCCTGCCTGAAAAGTACAACCCATTTTATGAGGAGCTCAACGTAAGCCCTCAGGGGTCTGATTTCACTTGTGTTGGATCACACCCGGTCCTATGAATAGCTCTGTGCCGCACAGGGGTTTTAAAGACCGCTGAGGCAAACACAGCGCGGTGCAAAGAGCTATTCCTAGGACCGGGAATGAAGCGACAAAAGGGAAATCGGTGGGAATTTCTACCCCACGTGCCTCTGTAGGAGCGGGAGGGCACCCCTGGCGCAGGAGGCGTTCGGGAGCGGGGGGTGCTGCCCCGCAGAGAGCGGCACCGCACCCTCGGCAGCCCCGCACCGCCACCGCGCCCGGCACCTCCGCTCCGGGCGGCGGGACCAGCGCTGCTCCCGCCGCCGCCCCACGGTACGAGCCGCTCCCTCCCGATGAGCCCCCGCAGGCACTCCGGGCGCTGCTCCCGGAGGGATGCCCCGGCCACGGCATCCCTCCCCTCGCCCCGCCAGCCCCGCCGCCCCGACCTCTCCTCGCCAGGCTCCTGGGGAATGTGGGGGAGCTCTGCCCGCCCGGGGTGCCCGGGCGTCCCCCGCCGCCCGCTCCTCTCCTACCTGCCGGGTGGCTCCCGCGGCAGCTCAGCAGCAGCCAGAGGTGCAGCGCGACCCCGACCGCACAGGGGCACAGCAGCACCAGCCAGTTTCGCATTGGCCGCCGCCTCCGTAGCCGCCGGCCCCTTCCCCTCCGCGCCGGCCTCTCCCAGCGGCGCCGGGGCGACGGCCCGGCTCGGCCGCCCGCGGCTCCTCCCCGCTCGGCCGGGCCGGGCTCGGCTGCCCCGCGGCCGCCGGGAGCTGCAGTCCCGCCCCGGCCCGGGCGGGCGGCGGCGGCGCGGGCGGCGGCGGTGGCCGCCTACAGCCCCCACAATGCCGCGGGGCGCCGGGGAAGCGCGGCCGCACCGCGCGGCTCACATGGCGGGGGAGCGCGGGGGCCGCGGAGCGGCGGCGGGGGCGGCGGCACCGCCTCACCCTCACGGGGGCAGCGGGGTGAGCCCGGAACCGTCCGGCTGTCCTGGGGCGCCCGCCGGGCGAGCCCTTCCCGCTTAAACGCTATTCGATAATCCACTGAATGCCCCTTCGAGGAAATCGTTGTGTCAGAAACAAAATAAGCTTTCCAGAACAATCTGTCGTTAATCCAATAAAGAGAGGAGAGAGTGCTTCGCCTTGGTAAAGACCTGCTGTGGCTCTTGTGAACTGTTTCTGAAGTATTTTATTCCAGAAAGGAACATGTTCTTTGACTGAAATTCCAGGGAAGATTTTAGACAAAGTGTCCTTAACTGCGACTGGATCACGGCCAAGAATTCTTGCTCTTGCAGAAGTACGTTGTCGTATGTTAATAATCCGAGCTCAGCTTCAAATTTTACCTACAGCCACCACTCTGAGGAGTTGGGTACCTACGGACTGACCCACAGAGAGCACCGTCTGCAGAACACTGTTCTGGCTAGGAAGGTTTAAATACAATCAGATGAAAGAGAGCATAATATACTAGCACCTTGAGACATTACTTGTTTCTGGTTTCCCTGCACACAGGTAACAGGGTGAGATGTTTCCTTGGACTGCCCCAGGGTAAAACCTACCCGAAGAAGTGATGTGGTTAAATAAGCAAAGGCTTCTCAGAATCACAGAATGGGTCAGGTTAGAAGGGACCACAGTGGGTCATCTGGTCCCACCTCTCCGCTCAAGCAAGGTTGTTCTAGAGCACATGACAGAGGATTGTATCTTGAATATCTGATTGTGTCTTGAAATAGTGAGGGAGACTCTACAATCTCCCTGGGCAGCCTGTTCAAATGCTTGGTCACTCACAGGGTAAAGAAGTTCAGAAAGAAAAGATGTTCAGGTGGAACTTCCTGTGCATCAGTTTCTGCCCATTGCCTCTTGTTAACAAATCAACTAGAAGTTTATGTGTAATAGCCCTAAGGCCTAAATGAACAACTGCTAATGCTAGTCTATCAGAAACAGTTTAATTTAGTAACAGAATCTGATATGAAGTATAATTGAAAGAAAGGATTTTTTACCCAGAGAAGACTAAATTTTAGTTTTAAAAAAATCCCCAAGCCATGAAAAGTATTTGGAAAATGCTTACAGTCCTTTCAAACTGCTTAGTTAAGATTAATTTTTCATCAGATGGAGTGAGATACTAGAAGGTAAAACAATTACTTTAACTTTTATATTTGGGTTTAAACAGCAGAAGGAAAATGTTGTGGAAATACATCAACTTTAGTTTGCTGCATACTTAAAACATTTAATAAGCAATTGAGTAGTTGACAGCAAATAATAGTACTAGGGAAAGCATTTACACAAAAAAAAATGCTATTATTAATCACTATTTACATTTGACTTGCCTTTCAGCAGGTTCAGCTGCAGAAATAAAACCTGGTCTAACTACTAATATTTATCTGTATTTGCCTACGGTCCTTGTAGCCAGTATGTTAGGTCCTCTCCCTAGGCCAGGTGATCTGATGGGGATTGATCTTATAAACACATCTAGCAGTGATTACTTCTTTGCAGACAAAACAGAGGACCCAATTTCTTGACATCTTACTTTCCATATGGTATTACCTACCATGCACAAGGATAAAGGACTGGATAACATACGAAACAGGAGAAACCTGTGTCTCCACATTACAGAAACAGGATATCCTGGTCAAGGGCATGATACATATGCATTTCTGTTAGTCATGTAGGAAATTGTTACAAATACAGTTTAGTTGCAGAGGACTGGTCTTTCCTATTCCATTTTTCTATTACACTCTCTATGAGATTTTTAAAGCCAAAGATTTTACCTAGGCCTCCCAACTTCATCATCTGTATTACAATGAAAGTGTGCACTTGTATATAAATCATAAGATGATTAGACCAACCATTAACCCAATTTTCAGAAGTTCCCATGAGTATAGCAGTTTCAGTTTGCATTCTTGAGGGCTTTTATGAGGACTGGTATTTTGGAGAAGCAAGCTGATATCAGAGTATCTAAAAATGATTTAAAGGCACCAAGTTTTAGGCACAACTTTTTGAAAAGTGCCTATATAAAAATTAGATTTTTCCAGAGATTTAAGAATCATGAATATATATACTATGAAAAGGCAAACTGATCTCTGATAGAACTTCTAGATAATCATGAATTATTTTTCTAAAAGACAAAGCATTTTGATTTGGATTATAACAATTCTAGGTATCATTTACTCAAAAATAAAGCATTTGCATGATGCTCTTTCTGAGCAGATTTACAGTACAGACTCAGGCACACACTGGCACACAAAGTATAGTACAGGCACAACACGTTGGGCACAAGAGCTGAAGACAGAAGAGAGAAATTTTAGTCCCCAGGCTGCTTGCAAACTTAAGATGCTTCTGTTAAATTTGCATAGTGCCTCTGGATAAGTATCTCCTGTCTGACATAGAGAGGACATGATGGATACCAGAGCTGTACTCATGTACCACAGCTAGCCACTGCATAGCATTCAGATTTTTTTAATGTTTGTTTGCCTAATTATTGCCCCAGGTGGGCGACTGGGATATTTATAGGACAGTAGCAGATGAGAAGAGCAAGAATCAGGGTGGAGCTGCATATGTTTTAGCAGAGCTTGTCCCCAGGGAGTCATGTGTTTTATTGATCTCTCTGTGCTTCATCTGAAAGCAGAGGAAGGTCTGGTGAGAGATTCCAGTTTAGGGATTTGGAAGACCTTCTCCCCACCTTGAAGAAACACTGACATATTACATTTCACAAAATCTTTGTGCCTTCAGTTTTTCAAAGAAAAAAATATTAAAAGAGGTTAGAGATCAGGGTATGAAGGATTTTTATTAGTTTAAAGGGATGTAAATTTGCCTCCCGATAATGTGTTTTATTCTTTTTCCAGTATTCATAACCTAAACAGATTCACTGTCCGTACTGAGGATTTGTCAATCCTTTCCTTACCTTTCTTAGGATCTTTAGAAGAAATACATTTTCCTTATTTTCCCAAACAGAGGAAATGTCTCACTGTCTCCCTTTTTGGCTCTCTGATCCAATGAAGTGCAGATGCAGAGGAGCTCCCAGACTCCCTTGGGAGTGCCTGGTGTTAGTCCATCCTAGGTGCAGAATCTGACATTTCACTTGGTAAATTTCATCCCATTAATCACTGCCCAATGCTCCAATCTAGCTAGTTCCCTCTGCAAAGCCTCCTGACCCTCAACAGACTCAACAGCACCTCCTGGTTTGGTGTCTTTGGCAAGCTTGCTAATGGTGCATTCAGCTCCTGCATCCAGATCGTTGATAAATATATGGAACAAAACTGGCCCTAGAACTGAGCCCTGAGGAACTCCACTGGTGACAGGCCACCAGCCAGATGTAGCCCCTTTCACTACAGCTCTTTGACCTCTGCCTGCCTTTGTTCACCCAGTGCAGCATGAACCTGCTCTTCCCACAGTTGGACAACTTGTCCAGATGGGTGCTGTGAGGGACAGTATCAAAAGCCTCACTAAAATCCAGAAGAACATCCACCTCCTTCCCTTTGTCCACTAGGCAGTGACCCTATCATAAAAGGATATCAAATTAGTTAACCAGGATTTTCCTTCTGAGAACCCAAGTTGACTGTGCCTCATGACTGCATTATTCTTTAATTGCCTTTCAGTAGGATATACTATAATCTTCTCCTTAATTTTTCCAGTTAATTCTTTCCAAATTAACTTCCAGTTAAGGAAGTTTTGTCTAAAATTATGTGTCAATTATTTTGCTGATCCTTTTTATCAAATAAAGTTTTTGCATCTTCTTGTCTGTTTAGAGGAGTAGCTTTAAGTTTTGCTGAATTGTGTCAGCAAAACAGTGTTGTAATTGGCTTTTCTTCCCTCATGTTTTCTGTGCAAAAGCTTTAACAGTTTTGGCACACGGCTTTGATTTGTGGCAGAAGCCACAGTTTCAACTGAATTCTCTGAAGTCCAACAATATTCTGTAGGGTCTTCCTTTCACTGGCATTGCAAGAATCTAGCAACCAGAACAGCTCTGACATCTTATTCAGACAAAGATAACCCAACTTCCCTCAGCTCACTTTCCTTTAAGAAAGGTAGAGCTTCAGGTTTTACATCCTCTGACAAAGGGGTCACTTGAGCATCCTAGTGGATGACCAAGCCACCATCCCTTATTCTAGAGAGGGATTAATTAGAATAACCTTGTCACCCTCTGGAAAGAAGGTGTTGTTCAGTTGGATCTTTTTTTCTTTTTATATAAGACCCAGCCTAACCTGTGTTAAGAGTTGGTAACAACCACACAAAATTGGCTTGCAAGACATCACAGTTATGCAAACATACCAATGCAGCAATAATAATTTTTACAGTCTTAGTTGACTCCTTGTCATCTTCATGACAATCAGAAATAGGAATGGACTCTAGACTACCTGTATGGCAGTAGCTAAATCTTGACAAGCACAGCTCAGAGAGCAGATGCAAACATCTTGCAGCGACGTGGAACACCAAATATCCAGTAATCAGTCAGCAGCCAGCTGGTGGGGTTAGCTACTTCATGTGCAGCTAGAATGCACTTTTTTTTAACAAGTGGCACAAAGACTTAAGGATGCACATACAGAAGAGAATTAGGTTTACAGAAAGTCCTGCTGAGACCTACAACAGCCAACATGCTCTTTAATCACATGCCTGCTAAAGAGAAAAGCAGATTGGCCACATATTGTTTATCATTTCATTATTATCTACTACTGGATAGATAATATGCAGGCTATATTTCACTTAAAATAATTTACATGACAGTG